AACCCATGAAACCTGGTGTTTACGTTAGGGTTTCCACTTATATTCCTTGGATTAAGAGTGTAATGGAAAGCAATTGATCCTGTGTATGGACTTCCCTCTCCTGGAAAGCAGCATGCACGTTAGACGTACAAGATTCCAAGTGCAATATTAAAGCTACAATCATTCATAAGAAAGTAAAATAAATATGATCATCCATTTTAATTTTTTATAAATTAAGAGTTATTGCCAAGAAACCCAACTGGCAATGTGTTACCCTCTTTCTATGTATTCTATGGTTTCCTATGTTTGACGATAGACTTACCCACCTCTGAAATAGGTGTCTAAAATCCCAACCTCAACTGTAGCTAGACATCTGCATTTCAATCTTTTGTTAAGCTCTACAATAACCTTTTCCTCTAAGGCTGACTTTCCAAGATGTTGTGCTTCCAACAAAGGAAGAAAGGAGCATACTTCTCATTTCCTATGAGTTTCAGAGCTTCTACCAAATTAATGATACAAACCAAAGAAGAATCTAATTGTACATATCTTGCTTATATATACAGTTTTATTAGGTATATCCAATAGCATTAAATACATGGGTTGGGAAAAAAAAAACAACACCCAAACAAACACATTTGGTTTGTACTTTCATATATTTTATTGACAATGAAATCTGTGTGTCAGCAAAAGTACAAATGTTGCATCAAAGATATAAAACAGTGACTAAAAAATAGCCTCATCCTAAAGTTAGTCCATAGTGGAGACAGAGAACAGCTGTCAATCATTTCAGCAAGTAATGGCAATGCATTGAACATATTATAAAATTTTGTTGTCCATAGTACCCATTTGTTTCACTATATCACTTTAACTCACTGTATAACTGCTACATGTACATTTTTCTTCTCCAAAGGAAAATTACGTACACATGCCTGTGGTTATAGGAAGTGAAAACTTAGACCTTTAGAAATGCCTTCCAAGGAGAGCTTGGCTTACAATGCTGAAGTTAAACACTTGGTCACTATGAGCTCCCACTCTCATCCTGCACCCCTTGCATATCAGCTAGAGAGCCTGGGGAGCCCTGGCTCTGCATGATGTCCCTCCTGCACCCCCAGTGTGTGCTCTTCAAGTGACACAACTGCTACATGGGGTGGGGTTTGTCTTGTCCATGTTCAACAGTGTAGAGACCCACTCCCAGGCATGCCAAATTGCATGTCATTTAATTTAGATCGTCTTTTCATTTTTTGTATGCATGTACCTGCAAAAGGGATGGGCTGCATCCTAGGAGGTTTTGAGGTTTTTTCTCACATAGATTTGAAGGGAAATGACAGCTATAACACAGGTAAGTGGCAGGGCAATTTTTGCAGCTTCTATGCCTGGAGTCTGATTCTGGGAGAAGCAATGATCTCAGGGCACTGCCTTCCTGGGCAGGAACAGCTCTGGTAGAGCATTCTCTAGTGACCTCTCTGGTAGGGGGGGATTCACTGAGTTCAAATACCCTCCTGCATATTTTCCATATCTACTAATCTGGATCATTAAGCCAGACAAGAAATTTGCACAATACTTCCCTGACAGCAGAAATTATGTGTTGCAGCTTTTTTGTTTGTTTGTTAAGCTCCTCAGATGTGAACTCTTTCAGGCATGGTTAATACCTGTTTTTTAGGCAGGCAAACCCACCCCTGCTTTCTTGACAAACTTGTGATCTTTTCCTCCTGTGAGAGTATCAGCACCAATAACAATCACCACTTACCACTAAACACTCATACATCCTAGATGAAGTAACCTGCAAATTTGGTGGCAGCAGCAAATAGCACATTGACCCATTTGTTGGTCTGAGAAACTTCTTTGCTGGCAGGAAAAATACACCTCCTGGGTTTCTGCAGTCATGCTGCTAGTGTCTCTTTGGTGACAGTAAGGTGATCCTTTGTCTGCTATGTGCCTCACATCTATCGCTGCACCTCTGAAGTATAACACATGCAAGACAACTATAGCTGACAGTGTTTGGTCCCTCCTTGAGGAGGTGCCTCCCACAGAGTGAGCTGGGTCACAATGGCCTTTGTAGGGTCAACCCATGCAGTTTAGGAGAACACAGCTTTGCCTCCTGAGAAGTTTGTAGGACTTCCCTATAAGACGCAGTGTATTAAGTGGTTTGAGGCACATATGAATTTAGAGTAACTTTTTTCAAACAAACATCTCACAGAGACAGGAGGATTTTCTGTTAGGATTCCCATGTTAGGGGTAAGAGAGCAGAGACATTACCAAATACAACTGCTAACTGAAGCTGTCAAGTGCGATCATATTAGAAATCAAAACACATACACAGGCTTTTTCCTGCTGTCCTTTACAAAATTAATAAATACATCCAAACTTCTGGCACTGCTACTAGCCTTTTTACATATGAAACTTTTCACTTACATTCTGTTCTGGTGCTATGGTGCTGTGATGCTATGCAAAACAAAGCACAGTCTGAAAGGTCAGAAACAAGTCTTTGTGTCTGTCACCTCAGCACATTCTAGTTGTCCACAGACAGCAGCAACTGGTAAATAACATTGACATTTCTTTGGAAAGTCATAGTTTTAAATGATCTCTATGGTCCTTCACAGACTGCTGTAGTGTTTAAGACACTGATCAAAAAATGTAAAATTCAAAAAGAAGAAACTTTAAAAAGGAAAGTGAGACTCAGCTCACACAGCATTGCATCTGATCTCCTCACCCAGGCTTTCCTGCAATTTGGGCTGGCTCTCTGTGAGGAAGGTAGCGCTGAGTTCTGTGCTCCCATTCTGCACTGAGACATGGCACCCAGCCAGTGCAAGCCCCCAGCTTCCAGTTCAGGCTGGTGTCTGCCAGCCAGTCCCACAGTGTGTCTTTAGCTATCTGCAGAAGGACACATTGGTGTAGAAATTTTCTCTCTGAAGCAGTAGATCTCCAGTCTTCTAGATATCAGCCATTAGTTAGATATATTATGAGATGCTTGCTTACTTTTGTATCTTTCAATCGCCAGTGACTTTTCCTAAGCATCCCTTTGGCCTTTAACTATACTTCAGAGGAAGTTAGAAACAGCCTTGAAAGATAGCCCTTTAGCACTAACTGGCCAAAGTGTTCAAACATTAGACCAAGATTACTATTAAAGGTCCTGTTCTGTTCCTGTGGAGTTGCTCATGTGGGCAGCTGCTGGGAAAAAGCAGTAAGAGTCACGAATTGTTAAAATGCCTCACCATAGGAAATCCCTTGTGCAAGTATCTGCCTATATGTCTATTCCGACCACACCACCCAAGTCTTGCAATGCAGACACAGGGACTGTGAGAATGAAGACCTTGGGCCCACTGTAGGAGAGGATCTGGTTCAAGACCATCTTAAGAACCTGAACGCACACAAGTCCATGGGATCTGATGAAATCCATCTGCAGGTCCTAAAGGAGCTGGCAAATGAAGTTGCTAAGTCACTGTCCATCATATTTGAAAAATCATGGCAGTCAGGTGAAGTTCCCAACGACTGGAAAAAGGGAAATATAACCCCCATTTTCAAGAAGGGGAAAATGGATGACCCAGGGAATTACAGACCAGTCAGTCTCATCTCTGTGCCTAGCAAAATCTTGGAGTAGATTCTCCTGGAAGACATGCTAAGGCACATGAAAAACAACAAGGTGCTTGGTGACAGCCAGCATGGCTTCACTAAGGGGAAATCCTGCCTGACCAATTTGGTGGCCTTCTCTGATGGGGCTACAGAACTGATGGACAGGGGTAGAGCAGTTGATGTCATCTACCTGGACTTGTGCAAAGCGTTCAACACTGTCCCACACGACATCCTTGTCTCTAAATTGGAGAGACATCAATTTGATGGATGGACCACTCGGTGGATAAAGAACTGCCTGGATGGCCGCACACAAAGAGTTGTGGTCAATGGCTCAATGTCTGGCTGGAGAGCAGTAACGAGTGGTGTCCCTCAGGGATCGGTGTTGGGACCGGTCTTGTTCAACATCTTCGTCACTGACATGGACAGTGGGATTGAGTGTGCCCTCAGCAAGTTTGCCGATGACACCAAGCTGTGTGGTTCGATTGATACGCTGGAGGGAAGGAATGCCATCCAGAGGGACCTTGACACGCTTGTGAGGTGGGCTGATGCCAACCTCATGAAGTTTAACCATGACAAGCGCAAGGTCCTACACCTGGGTCGGAACAACCCCAGGCACAGCTACAGGTTGGGCAGAGAAGAGATTCAGAGCAGCCCTGTGGAGAAGGACTTGGAGTTGTTGGTTGATGAGAAAACGAACACAAGCCGGCTTCAAAAGGAGCGTGACCAGCAGGTCGAAGGAGGTGATCCTGCCCCTCTACTCTGCTCTCGTGAGACCTCACTTGGAGTATTGTGTGCAGTTCTGGTGTCCTCAACATAAAAAGGACATGGAACTGTTGGAACAAGTCCAGAGGAGGGCCTCGAGGATGATCAGGGGCTGGAGCACCTCCTGTATGAAGACAGGCTGAGGAAGTTGGGGCTGTTGAGCCTGGAGAAGAGAAGGCTGCGTGGAGACCTCCTAGCAGCCTTCCAGTATCTGAAGGGGGCCTATAGGGATGCTGGGGAGGGACTCTTCATTAGGGACTGTAGTGATAGGACAAGGGGTGATGGGTTAAAACTTAAACAGGGGAAGTTTAGATTGGATATAAGGAAGAAGTTCTTTCCTGTTAGGGTGGTGAGGCACTGGAATGGGTTGCCCAGGGAGGTTGTGAATGCTCCATCCCTGGCAGTGTTCAAGGCCAGGTTGGACAGAGCCTTGGGTGAGATGGTTTAGTGTGAGGTGTCCCTGCCCATGTCAGGGGTTTGGAACTTGATGATCATAAGGTCCTTTCCAACCCTAACTATTCTGATTCTATGTGCTCTTAAGACAGTGAGGCTGGAACAAGTCATTCAGCTGCATTGACTGTAATGTTAGCACTATTCATTTGTGGTATGAACCTTCATACCACTCCTATATTTGCTTATGCCAAATATGCTCTTTTCTGAGCTTGTAAGGCCCTTTATGAGAGCTCATTGGCTTTCTTCTGTTTATTTAATTCTCTTTTGGTAACAGATGCCTTTTAAGCACCACATCTTTTCGAGTCCTTCACTGTAAGGAGTGTATTATTCACCTGTCAGTGACAAGGACCCAGCGCTTAATGAAGAAGGTCATACAGCTGAAATGGAAGGCAGGTTGTCCCTGCTATCTGCTTGCAAAGGCACAGACTCAAGCTCTTCTGTTACACATCAGCTTCAAGCAATCAGGACCAGTTAACCTTTAACTCCATAAACAAAGATCTTCTCTCATTCCTGTCCATCTTTCCAAGACAGCTTAACATCCCTGTCAACAACCCAAATCGTTTATCCCCAAGACAGAAAGATGACAAATAATGATGGACAAAAGACAGAAATTGCAAGTCATCCTGGCAGTGGACAGGGAGAGAGAATTTGGTTTGTATAGATGGCCAGAGAGCATATTTTAGAATGAAAAAAATCAGCATGTTCTTGAAAGGCAGGGCTGGAAAAACACCTGATAAGGGAGAGCAGGCAGAAGCCCTTCCCTTGGAGATATTGAGTCCCTGGCCATGAGGCAGGATGATGGGGTGTCACATGAACCACAGTTGGGTCTGGAGGGAGGCAAGGACAATCTGATCTGCAGACCTAATGCTCTGTGTAGGATGTGACACCTACATAAAGCCTTGCAAAGGAGAAGAGGACTGCTCCCCCATTTCAGGCAGCCCTTGAAGAAGGAGGGAAGCAGGGTTTTTTTGGCAAAAGCTCACTGAGGGGAGAATCAGATCAGGGCAAGGGTGTCCTGATGCACACCACCGATTCCCATCCCTCCTAACCAAAGGAAGAGCTTCCCTGTTTAGCAGCCTCCATCCTAAGCCACCAGATCTTCTGTTTTTCTGGATTGCCCAGAGCCAAAGGAGAACAGGTTGAAATACTCATCCTCTCCTCCTCAAAGCCATCAGATCTTGAAAGAGCAATACTGTGTTAAACCCTCCCCACCCAAAGGTATATGTTAACAACAGAAATAAACAAATGACTCAAATAGGTGAAGAAATAAATAAGAGCTCACTGAGCTGGATAGCGCTTCTTTTTAAAGCTGTTCTGTTCTCTACCAAGAATCAGAGAGTGCTCTCTTCCTGCAAACTGCGCACTCAGAAAAAAAAAAAAGAGTTTATTAATATTTATAGAAAAATACACTACTTGTTTTAAATGTCCTTATGTTTAGAAGAAGAACATGGAATTTAAACCATACTCTGCAAATTTTGAAGTGATGGCAGGTGGAGAACAAATTCCCATCATAGGAACATGGTTCTTAGCTTAGTGCTGTCCTTCAAAGTTCAAATATATGAGTTGGTATCCCGGTGTTTCCGTTTCTTGCCACATTTACCAAAATGACTGAAGAAACAGAAGGGGAGAGGTGTATAAGTGTGAAAGAAGAAGGAAAAGATGTAGCCCAAGTTGCAGTCCAATCCACAGTACTGAAACATTTATTTTCTGTGTGAAAATTTCCTCATTCTTTAGTTTGTGCATTGAAGCAGGCAAAAGTTACTGATGCAATATACAAAGCCACTGCTTGAAACATTAATGTATAATGCTATCTCCTCAAGAAATTAAGCCAAGCTGTAAATGTTCCCTGCATGCCTGCAATGCAATGAAGAGCCTGGCTTGCTGTGTGTCGGGAGTGGGAAAGATATGCCTGCAACTTTTCAGATATAAATTCATCCTGTACATGACTTCTTAATGACTTCACAAACTGTGGAGGTGTTCCCATGATCAAGGGCCCTTCTTCACAGGATTGAGGTTATGGCTGGTTTTCTTGAGCAGAGAGTTGCAGGCTGTACTTTGAAGTATCTCTCTTGCACACGATTTATTTCTGCTTCTAGAGGTTCATAGGACAGATTTCTCATGTCTCCATGAGAAAAATACACGTTCTATCCCCATACTTTTTTTTAACAACCTGCCTTAATGAATGGTACTGAAAATTTCAAATGTATGTTGAGGGAAATATCACATCGACCTGACTAGGGAATTTACTTTGACATTTGGAAAACATTAATAATTTATGACAGCTGATAAAGTTGGAGAAGAACACCATCAGGAAATAGCACCTAAATAAAAAGGAATAAAATACATATCACACCTTGAAAGCTGCTCCACATCCTCCACTGTCTCTGGTAAGGAGATTCCCTTTGTCTCTGGTAAAAGGAGTACCAGGAGCCCACAGACAACTGCGAGAATACCTACAGTGAACATTGAAGATATACAAAAACAATAAGAAAATTACTTTTCTTATTTTCAGAGTTTATCCACTGAGGAAAGTTTATTCAGATTAAGGTTGGTTTAGTATTTTTGAAGCACAACAGTTATTTCTGATTACAGCTGCAATGTTACATTAATCTTATCAGACACCTGTATGCTACATAAATTTAACCTATTATAAAAAAAACCTTAAAGCTAGAGCTTCATTTGCAGCCTGTATTGGTCCCAGAGGGAGATCTTACAAGTCAAAAGCCTCAGATAAGTGCACATGGACAAGTGCATACAAACTGCAATGTAACCAAAATGTTATTTCTCATATTAGATAAATCTCCTTTTCTTCAAGAGGCTCTATCTATCTTGTAGATGCATCAATGTTTCTTGAGACCGCTGAGATTTTCCTGAGCTACCCTCTTCATGTATCCATGACCAAAGTAGATTATGTGATTCAGGCTAAGAATTCATTCTTGGGAAAGAGCATTCAGATACAGAGCCAGTTCGAAATGGTTAATTAGGAATGGTTATTTTGGAATAATTTCCTGTGTAGATATAATTTAAATAAAGTAATAAATAAAAAATAGAAGGGCTGGAGCAAAAAGTAAAATGCTCCCTGACTGCTGCACAGCCTCCCTTGGTTCTCTCTGGTTTTGCAGCTCTTTATTCCAGACAGAGGGAATTCAGCAGCGGAATTTCAGAATTAGGTAATGTGAACGCTGCACTGCTGTATGTGTCTATTCTTGGGTTAATCTTTTAAAATGTCTTGTGTTCTTTCCATTTTTGTTTTCAGCTAAAGTTGTCATTAGCACCAATTTCCCTACTTATTCTATCCCTTTTGCATTCAATGCAGTCACGTGTATCTCCTGGAAGTCTGGTTTAGCCACAGATTCACGTTTCCATGTGGGAAATAAGTATTTTATTTATTTTTTTTTGCCCACAGAATTACTCCACATGGATATTTTTTTCTAAAATGCAACTGAGAAAAAGAATTTGTCAGTAATATGAAGTTATGGTTAATACAACATCCATGGTCATAGCTGTACCTGCCGAAAAACCCAAACCAAGTATTTTTTAAAAGACATTAACCTCTACTCCGGGGAGACTAAGCTTGCTTCTCTGTAATTACAGAACTTAGCTGTAAGTTTTCTCAGTCTTAAAGCACCTCACACAGTTTCTTTTATGCTCCTTCAGCCAAGTTATACAAGCAGACCTGAGCAAATGCATGGCCTGCCGTGAAATCACCCACACTTCACCCATTTGCCATTCAGCCTCTTGCTCTAGGTGTGAGGGTTGAGAGGAGCTGGTCTGAATGGGAGATGAAGCCACACACTACAGTTTTGTCCTGAAAGAAAAGCTCTGTTAGGAGGAGGATATTTAAGCCAAAAGTTGATTTTAAATCAAATCTTACAGAAAATTATTAGAGGTAGCTCCAACCAAATGGCTGCCAATCGGAAAAGCAGGAATGGGGCTATGATCCCTCCTAGGTCACACAAACTCGAGCACAGGGAAACACCAAAGTTTCTGCAAAAAAAAAACAGTGCCAGGTATTTGTGAGGTGCTACCAAACAGATGAACCAGCAGTTTAAGGAGCAGAACATAGGCTTAGCTCCAAAATTATCCTGACAGTTTATGCAATCCACATTGAGCAGTGGCTACTCAAGTTAGGAAACTCTGAACAAAATGAAGTTTTACCAAACAATGATGAAATAGGGAATGGGGAAAAGCAGAAGGAGACATTGAAAGATTCCAGGGAGCTTTCAACATACCTCAGTGTCGTAGGGTACAATTCAGTGTTCACAAGATAGACAATTTCAAAAGCCATCGTGATGCCCAGTCTTCCCAGTGTGGCAATTGTCATTTTAAGCCATAGGATATCTATTTATTCAAAGAGAAACCCTGGTGAAGTGCACTTTGCTGCACCAGCAGAGCATTTCTGAGAGCCCCAGGCCCTGTCAGCAGAAGCTATATCACAGAAACACTGGATCAGTGCAAATCAGAGTGAAAAGCCACAGCTGTAGATATCAATTTCTACTGGCATTTATTGTTTTCCAGCACCACGCCAGGCTGTTTTGGAGAATCAGAAATCACTTCTTGTTGATTGATTCAAGATGCTGGTGGGGCATAACAGCCTGGGTGGGAATAAGTTTCCATGACCACGTCCAAATTGTGCTCTGGAAAGGAGCATTTATTTATATAGGGATGTCATGCTGTGAGAAACGCGTGTGAGTAACTCAACACATGTTAAGTGACCACATGTTAAGTCACCTCCCAAAGCCTTCTGACCACAAAAAATCTACCTCTAAAAGTGCATAGAATCATAGAATCATCTAGGTTCTAAAAGACTTCTAAGATCATCAAGTCCAACCGCAAACCTAACTCTGCCAAGTCCACCAGTAAACCATGTCCCTAAGTGCCACATCTACATGTCTTTTAAATACTTCCAGGATGCTACAGTAAAACAATTCTCCCTAGGGTAGGCCAACTACACTTTCTAATTTGTCTAGCCATTGCTCATTAGACACACTCCTAATAGTGGTACTCCTGGCCATTCTCTCCCTTCCTTCCCCTGATGCTTGATTTTGTACCTAGCATGAACAGGCCAGGAGCCTTATCCTGCCCTGGTGGCTCTTCTCAGCTCTCTCAGGTCTACTTGAGCTTTGTGGTGTGGCCACTACTCTGTATACATCAGCAGGAACCCCTTATTCATCAGCAGGGAGTGCAAAGGTCACATCCACACCACAGGGCACAGCCATTCCATCTGGCTTTGTGTCAGAGTTCCCTCTCTGGAAAGACAGTGTCCTCTGGAGGAGCATCACAAGGAATGCAATAAGCACTTCTGCAATGCCCTTGGGAGAGGCCAGTTTCCTGTATGGTCTGACTACGAAGAGACAGATGGGGAGACAAATGAAAGAACAAGTGTGAAATCAGCACAAAGGGGAGCTCTGCCACAGGAGAGGGCTCTGGCAGTGATTGTGTTTTCTCAGAACTTCAAGAGAAAGAACAAGAAAACATTTCAGTTTGCTCTGAAGCAAAACTGAGATGCTCAGGGTTATTTCCCTTCCAAAATAACCAAACAAACCCTCATTAAATTTCACCCCATGCTGCGAGACACTGAAAACTTCTGGTTTATGTTTGTATACTCTTCCCTTGCATTTGCCTTCAAAACAGTACAAAGACTTTATACACATCCTCTCTAACACTACACTCAGCTGTTGCTCACCACCCATCGAAGATACAGCCATTACATGTCCCAGGGCACTCTATAAGCAAATGAGGTATGTTGTTCCATTACGGCAATGTTGTTGTATCACCAAACACTTTTCACTTTTATTTACAGTTCTGTGTGGCCTACTGTCCTTGCTTAAGGGGTGTCGGAGAGAAGTCATTGACCTAAAGACCCTGACATTGCGAAGGGAATTACCTTCTGGCAAAAAGGCAGTAATGAGGCATGCAATCCCCGCCACAATGTTGCTTATTGCAAAAGGAAGGCGACGGCCGATGCGATCAATTGTCACTAAAATTAGGAGAGCAGCAGGCAGCTCTACAGCTGCTGAGATGAAGAAGTCTAGGTAGAGGTTTCCTCCAACAATTCCTAGGCGCATGACGAGCCCTTGGTAGATCAGGGCACTTGTGAACCTAAACAGCAAAGGGAAAAAGATGTTGAGAGGCAAACAAATGGCTGCAAGCAGCTGCAATGACCTTAAACATCACAACAGAATTTTTCTTGAAAACCCACTGCCATGGTAACAAACTGGGCTGAAGTGGGCACTCACCAGGCATACATGAGGATGAGGGTGTTCCTTCTCATCCGGGGAGTCCTCACCAGGCTGAGAAAGGAGGGGTTGCTGACCTCCTCATTGTTAATAGTGATCTGAGGAGAAAAGCGAGCAGTCAGCTGTCAGGGGTCAGGCAGGCAGTGCAGCAGTTTCTATGTAAGCATGGTGCTCAGCAGTATTCCAGTCCAGTGAGCTAAGGTGCCGACGAGCCAGCTCTGCTGCTATTAGCACTCCAGAGCCGTGTGCAGATATGGAGAAATAACATATAAGTGGGCTGTGGGCTTTCATTAAGGATGGTCATGTAAAAGTCAGGAAAAAAGTCCCAAATCCTGACTTCAGAGAGGAACAATGATTCCCTTGATGTAAACTGAGAGAAGCTGACCTTGAATTTCTTGGAAGGCAATAGGCAGTTGTTCTCGCTTCAGGGTCGGGAGAAGAGTGACATTCTGCCAGAGGTGAGGGAGAGGAGCAGACCATGGCAGATAGGGCAAAGCAATAGGCTGGGGGGAAGGAGGGAGACAGAAGGTGAGCAGCAAGCAATAGACTTGGGAACATGGCACAGCTGGGCAGCAGGAAGAAAAGAACAGTGAGAGAAAAAGCAGATCTGTAATGGCACTTTGGTGCTACAAAACATTCAACTGGTGAAATGAAGAGGGTCTTAAAATACATGAGCACTGTGCTGAACTGTACTTTTAAAAATACAAACTGCACTTTAAAACTGGCTTTTACTCTGTAAGAAAAAATCCTGCAAAATATGAATTAATGGTCCTCATACTGTCTACAAATTATAGTAAAATTGTTTACAGCTTCCACCAGTACAGACACAATGAGGGACTTAATGAAATGATTAGTTAGAAGGTTTAGCAATAACAAAAAAGGACAGGGTTTCACAGAGCCTGTGTTTACAAGTTGGAGTTCATATTGCCACCGGATATAGTGGAGCAGAGATATATTAGCAGGGCCAGAAAGAGTTTAGGCACATTGATGGAAGCTGTTTTTAACGTTGATGGCCAGCAGATATTAGTAGTGATGCCTAAGCCAGATGGCAGTCCTTTTGTTCATATGTTCATTTGATGGGTGAGGAACATGAGAAAGAGTAGGTGGAAGTTACTTTAGGCAGGGACAAACTGTGACACTACCAAGAACTAACAGCCACATCCAGGATTGCCATCAGCTCTCCAATCAACTGTGGGAAACATGGGGTTAAGTCTGCTGAGTCTTTTCTAGAAGGATTTCAGGCAGCCTGGCTGCTTTGACTCTCAGTTACTCTTCCCCTCTTGAGAAGAGGCCTGAGAGAGAAGCAGAAACCCAAGGAAACAACCTAGATAGTGGGGAAACATGGGTAAAAGAATGGAGAACATGTAGATCCATGAGAACACAGGTAAAGCCAAAGGCATTGCCCAAGGTTCTTGTCAGCTCAGCCAGGGCTATGCCCAAAGCTTTTCCTCTGTATTTGGTTTTCATATCATAAGGTAGCATAGACGTTTTCAGTGAGATTTGGCTGGATGTACTTACACATGACTTTTTCATAACTGAGTGACACAAAACTCTGTAAGTGGACAGAGAAATCACACATTTGTTTGAACTTCCTTTCTACTGCCCCTTGCTTTTCTTCTGTAACCAAAGCCAGTTTTCTTCAGAGCACTGTAACTTCTGCTGCATGCCAGAGACCTTTGTGAGGCAGGCAGACATTGCTGGGTTTCTGCACTGCTCTTGGACTGTCTCATATCATTGTCATAAAGCTGCCATGACTGTGTTTATAAGAGCAGGCTGCCAGCCATCAGTTTTGACTTTGTGCAAATATGGGGTTAGTTTTCCAAAGGACTAAAGATGAATTCAGCATAGCTGCTACCATGTATTTTTAGGACTTAATAAAGTCATAATGACCCCAAACATGACTGAGCATTTTTTTATGGATGAAGAAAAAAGCCACTGTGGAAAGTCAACTCTTTGTAGGGAAAAAAAATCCTCTTTTTGTTTTTTGAAGTCAAGGAGAGCTTTGCTATTCACATCAGTGCAGTCAGGAATCCAGTGGCAGAGCCCATGTTTCTAAAGATAGACTATTTTGCTCTCTTAAGATGCAGCTCTTACTCAGCTGTTTGCAGTCCAGTCCTGCCTGCTTTGGACAGAGACCAAGAAATCAAAAAGTCTCTTGGGGAAAAAAAAAAAACAAACAAAAAGAAAAAGGGGGGGGGGGGTATAGTTTACAATTAATTTAACGAGTTCTGGATGGAGCTGTACCAGTGTCGCAACTCACAGAGCAAAAGAAGCAAACGTTTATCTGCTTTCATACAAAGGTCATCTGTGGTTCCTGCATGTCAATAAAAATGCAGTGCAAATCTGCTACATCCAAAGCCATGTAAGGGATTTGGCCAATGTAATCATTACAGATGTACTGGAAAATCTAAGCCAACATTCATAGATGGGTAATGCCTCTCACTTCTCCCTCTCCCTCCACACTTGCAGTGCTTTGCCTGAAATTCTGGGGTTGCTTCATGAAAGACAAGCCTGACGAGAGTTAATGTGAGAAATAGGCTTGATCTGTGACTAATGGGCTTCCTGGAGATGGCCTCTTTCCTCTGGGCACAGCACCAAGGATAAAAGACATTGTTTATTGAAAAGGTCCCAGGAACAGATCCAGCATGAATCTGGGTGTATGGAGGTTAATCTGCTGCAGCTGAGTGGTTTAAGCTCATAAGCAGGGACACTTCTGAAAAAAAATTGAATATAACTTCAATAAAGCAGGGAAAGACACATCTCCATCCTGACACGACACTGTAAAAATGCTGGTATTTAGAGAAGGAAGTGGGTGTAGGGGCATAAGGCTGAAAGCACAGGGGAAGCTGCAGCAGCACAGCCTTCCTGCTATAAGTCTCCAGCCACACTCAGCACTGGGTAATGCTGACCAAGCTGGGGGAATCTCACCAGTGTATATGCCCAACAAGGACAGTAATTCATAGAATCATAGAGTCATAGAATAATAGAATGTTTTGTGTTGCAAGGGACCTTAAAGATCACCTAGTTCCAATGCCCCTCTCTGGGCAGACAGGATTGCTCAAAGCCCTGTCCAACCTGGCCTTGTACACTTCCAGGGATGGGGCAGCCACAGCTTCTCTGGTGAGCATATTCCAGTGCCTCACTACCCTCATAGTAAAGAGTATCTTCCTAATATCTAATCTAGATCTCCCTTCTTTCAGTTTAAAGCCATTCCTTATCCTGTCACTACATGTCCCTCTGAAAAGTCCCTTTCCACCATTTTTGTATGCCCCCTTTAGGTACTGGAAGGCTGCTATAAGGTCTCCCTGGACCCTTCTCTTCTCCAGGCTGAGAAAGCCAAACTCTCTCAGCCTGTCTTCAAAAAAGAGGTGCTCCAGTCCCCTGATCAGCCTCATGGCCCTCCTCTGGACTTGTTCCAACAGTTCCATGTCCATCTTATATTGAGGGCCCCAAAGCTGAACACAGTACTGCAGGTAGGGTATCATGAAAGCCGAGTAGAGGGTGAGAATTGCCTCCCTTGACCTGCTGGTCATGCTGCTTTTGATGCAGCCCAGCATGTAGTTGACTTTCTGGGCTGCAGGTGACACTGCTGGGTCGTGTTGAGCTTCTCATCAACCAACACCCCCAAGTCCTTTTCCACAGGGCTGCTCTCAATCCAGTCACCCCCAACCTGTAGCTGTGCCTGGGATTGCTCCGACCTTGCACTTGGCGTGGTTAAACTTCATGAGGTTGGCATCAGCCCACCTCACAAGCGTGTCAAGGTCCCTCTGGATGTCATTCCTTCCCTCCAGTGTATCAACCGAACCACACAGCTTGGTGTCATTGGCAAACTTGCTGAGGGCGCACTCAATCCCACTGTCCATGTCAGCGACAAAGATGTTAAACAGATGACTTCACAAAATCATTAGTCCAGAGTCATAAATCCTAAGAGATATAGTACAGGTTAGGGCCCAGCTTATCTGTGGAACTTGCTGGGTGAACTCTACCTTGACAGAACTGCCACCAACATATACTCAATGAAGTGGAAAGATAACGAATATTGGTATAAATCAATTGGCCATTTCCATACAACATCTGTTGCCACATACGTCTTCCTGTGTGCACTATTATTTTTATCAGAGGAATGGTCCTGAATAAGCACAGCTGCTTATCCTGGATGGCTGATTTATGGGAACTTTTTCTCACCAGGTAAAAAAATCCTATGGATTTGGGAACAGCTATGTGCTGTTTCAGAAGAATGCCAATAATTACTGCCAAAAATTAATCCAGAATTATACTCTAGGACTTTCGTGAAGCAATCCCACTTTCTTGGATGAGCTGGGCTAAATTCTCAGGTTCTCTCTTGCTTAAGAAGAGCAATTAGAAAAACATAGGTAAGGTAGCAAGCAGTGGGAACTCAAGCTGTCAACTACTGGTTGCAAAGCACACACATCATGATGTTCCTTCCAGAAAGAATGGGACATATCAGTGTCCTTCAGACACTACCATCCCAAAGTCTTTGCTTTTGGTATCAGTGAAAATTTAGTTAACATAATACTTTTATATATGTATAAAAATGTACGTATATACATGTGTGTAGTCATAAAGGATACTACTGTGCACTGATAGGCATTTTATGTAGGTCATTTCTTTCTAAAATACTTGCAGCACATTCAGCATGCCAGTTCTGGGCTGCTGTGTACTAACAATTTGCAGCCATTTTCCTTAGTTCAGATAATGATTCCTAACACTTCTATTGCTAGCATTTAGGCTCCAGACATAGTTTATTACAGAACAGGAACTTTGACACATCTGTTGTCACTGAAGCATAAGACCAATGCCATAATGACCCAATGAAGAAGAAGGCAAATGCTGCAATGACATGATGAGTATCATCTGAAATGCATCAGTCCTTTCAGTTCCATCAAAGGACTGTAATTCTAACATATATTGTCTTGTTTTGCAAATAGTGATCTTAGAATATACTTCCTGTATTTGGAATTCTGGGGCATATTTTCCCCCTGTTGAGACAGAAGCAAATTCTGATTTCATTTTCCTTTTGAGTTGCAAAAGGAAGTTCTAGCAAAGGAACCACAAAAATGGATCCCGCTGTCTCTACTCACTCTGTCAGCTAAAAATGGCAGCTGCTGTGAAATCTCATGGGCCCTCAGGCTATTTTCTGGTATTTCCCACAAGTTTTTAAAGTAGGAGTGTTGCAAATGAAATGCCAGATTCATTGTGTTGCAAACTTCTTTCGTCAGACCATGTCTTTCCAGCCTGTTCACTTTGACTCTCTTGCAATTAACAAAGTAGGTACGGGACTGAGAATCTTGTTCTGGTGTGACACATCAAGAGTGTTGTCCATCACATAAAGAGAAAGCATTTTAACAAAACTGAACCTTCAGAAGAGTAAGAAAGTTTAGAAAAGAACCTCTAGCTCAAACAGATAACAATACCTCTGAGTAATGTGGTGAGAGATATTTCCCATTGTGCTTTGCAATGGTGTGCATGATTTTTAATGCTTTCTCTCCCTTCTTGCGTGTCAGGAGCCAACGTGGAGATTCAGGAACCACCCTGTAAGAGCACAGAAGTCATGAATAGAGGTTTGGACCTTTAACATTATGAGTAAACTGAAGTCCTTTGCCTTTTGCCTGTGTTAATACACAACATAGAGATTTTTCAGTCTTTGGGATACAGAAACTCTTTTGTGGACTGCTTTTCCAGTCAGTCTGCTGTAAAATATCTAATCCTTGTGGGCAGGAAATAAGTTATATCAGTACTCCACAAAGTTGGAAAATAAGAAATCTAACTATTGTATTTGTACAATTGATGTCAAAAGTAGGATAACTAACAGACAAACAAGGTGCCTTGTTTTCAAGGAACAATGAAAGCACTAAACACATGTATTACCAAGTACAGACAGATTGGGAAACATCTAGCTGTATTATTATGAGATAGACACGCAAACACATAAACCTATACATGTTTTATAAATTGAATACAAAGCAATAGTACTGATAGGTGTTTCAGTTTCTGCTGGCCAACGGTTAATATAATTCACGATTTAAAAGTTCACTCTTAAAAGGCAATGTTTAAGGAAACAGTGTGCAAGAAGAGGCTATGTGGATTAGATTCTGTGGATCCAGCCCACAGGATGGCTGCACTCCACCACGGCATAGTGCTCTACTCTCGTATTAGCTGAACTGCCCAATTCACGGAAGGACCCAGGCTTGAACTGAGTATATAATCAGAGGTAAAGGCGGCATCCCATGCATGATGGTCAAGCAGACTTTGGTCAAGTTAAGCAGATATACAACCCCATGTTAAGCAGGGTAGGGTTCTGTGAAGGGCCAGCTGTGGCTTACAAGGGAGGCAAACTCTGGACAGAAAAATGAAAGAAATGTATGCCTGCAATTCACTAAAAAGAAGTAAAAATGCCAGAATCAACAATGTGCAAATATCTTCTTCCTAACCTACAACATCTTGCACACTGGAGACTTTGGACCACAGCAGGACTCTCAAGGTGCTTGAATAGTAACAGCAATAATGACAAGAGCAATGACTGCAACATTACCAGTAGTACAGCAGGAAGATGAAGTTGGGCAGTGATATGGCCAGCTGGATCCCTTGCCAGGTGGGAATCAAGTATGCAATTCCAGGGAGAATCATAATTCCCAGCGTGAAGAATATCTGTATCACAATCCCAACAATCCGCTGGTCAGAACCAACGATCTCTGTCACTGATCAGAGAGAAAGCCAAAATAAACAACACAGAAACAAAACTAACATGAAAGAAAAATGTTAGTGGTGGAACATAAGGAAGGATAGTACTGCATCAGGGCACAAGTCTGTCTATCCCAGCATTTTGCCTTCAGAAATATAAGCATATTCCTGAGACTGTTCAGGGCAAGAGTGGGTGACACCCCCTCACCAGTTCACCCCCTGTTCTTCAGCTAGCAGGGTTTCTGAGTGCATGTCCACTAATGTATTAAATAGGGCCAGAACAAAGAGTTGAGACTGTGTCATGATCACCCTTAGTGGTAAATTGTTAGCACTCTTCCCTGCCACAGACTAGAGAACCATCCAGGCAGAGGCTGCTCCCAGTAGTAATACGGACAGGACAACTGTGGGGAAGAGAGTTTAGCCATACCATGCTGGTTTCTCTGAGGGCTAAGGTATGGTTCACAGTTTGTTTTATTTACCAGAGCAAACGTAGCCTTTGTTGGTTTGTTTTTCAAACTTTGTTGAATTTGTTTGTTTTGTGAATGTGACTAGTCACTTCTGAAAGCCATGTAAGCCCATATTTCAGGCAATATCCCATGGCCATGACATCCATAGTTGAGATGAGCAATGCTTGAAGAAGTGTCTCTTGTTTGTTTCAAAACTGTCACTACTACCTACCCTTCAAAGTAAAAGCAGACGGTTTTACTTTGCTTTAAAATATACAAAAAACTCTTTTTCTTTTTCTTTTTTTAATTTTACTGAAAAAGACACAATTTTGCAAGTAACAGTGATTCATTTCAGCTGGCAACCCAGAGAGATAAGACACCATTACTGTCTTTATTGACTATTCATCATGTCCACATGGCTCAGGGGCAACTCTTGCCTAAAGGCAGCTGCTCAGCGCTGGCTTGGAAAGAGCTAGGTTATCTGTACAGGTTCTTGGATCAGCCTGTTGTGGTTCTGAAACGCAGATCAGTAGCTTGGGAGATGTATTAACAGCAACCATCCTCCTGGTGCAACAAAACCAATGACCTGTATATGCCTCTTTAAATGTATTAGGCTGGTAAATACTCTGAGTGATCCTGAGTCATAAGAGTAGATCCTTGAAGAGATTTAGAAGGAATCACTCCCTTCAAGAATTAAGCACCTTGCTCAGGGCTGAGGTAATACACTGTCCTTCAGGACAGTGCTGTATCTCTGAACCTTTCCCTGAAGTCAGGCAGTCTGATACGAGCATTGCAAACCATTTATTTCTGTTAAAACTTGTCCATTTTAAGGACCACTTTGCTGGTTAGAACACTCACCAAAGTTTCAGGATAAGATCTCAGTATAAAATTAGGCCATCTGCTTGGAAGTGAGGGGAAAAACAGCTTTTCACTCTTTCCCTGGATCTTGCACCTGAGCTGTTCAGCAGTGTAACTTTGCCCACAAGATTGAGGTGTGTCTGGGCTTTAAATCCTGAGAGGGCCAGACAGGTATGTTTGCACATACATCACCACAGTGTACTCAGGTCTCACTGTAACTGTTTACATCTGGTTGTAATTCTGCTCTCAGTCATATAGATTCCACTAGGAAGTTAAAAACATTGTCCCAGCCCTTACGGACTACAGTGATGTTACAATTTTTTGCACTATATAATGGTGTTTTCACTGTGTTTTGAGTAGATTATTGTAAGAAAACCTCTGTATATACACATTCCACTCCTCAACCCCTTAATTATTTATGTTAATCCCTCCCCATCAGACTCCAGAGATGAGTACTGAAGGAGAGCTTGGACAGATCTGAAGGACACATCACTCTTGTTAGACTGCCCTCTTGAATTACTTCCTCACTCCTCTCCGTGGGATTCTGTGAGGTCAGGCAGGCATGTATAGTGCTGCTCATTTCCATCCTATATCAGTACTGAAGGTCAGAAAGGGTTTGCACTTGCTGCCCTTCTTAGAGGGCAAGTCCCTACCAATAAATCAGCAGACCTCACCAGGTAAGGGAGCACTGTACTGTTTAGCTGTTAGAAAGATCCCTAGTATGGTCTGGACATAGGCCAGTGACTGCTTCCTCGAACATTCAGTTCAGGCATGAGCCCAGACCACAGACAATGTCAAGATACAATCTGCAAGCAGGCACCTTGTCTAGGAGGACAAATGCATTAGCTAGGATGGATTTGGGTTATTCATTGTCTGCTGATCCCAGGGACAGTGCTTTGTTGCCAGGAAAAAATTATTCTCAAGAGCACATGTTGCCAGACACATTGTCCTCCAAAAATCCGTTGCTCTTCCTAATAATAAAAAAAGAAAGATAACAGCTCTCACCAATCACATAGCATGTCATCCAGGTTCCCTTGCCAAACACGCCTTGGAGAAAACGGAAGATCAGAAATACAGTGAAGTTTGGTGCGAATGCCACTATGATACCACATATCCCAACCCCGAGACAGGAGAGCAGGTAGGTGAGGATTCTGCCATATCTGTTGAAAAGGGAAAATAAAGTGAAAATTACAAAAAGACACAAAGGTGTTTTTTTTCCCTGGCATCTCATTTTAATGCTAGATCTGAAAGCATCTTTATGAGACCAGTCTTGTTCCAAAGGGAGGCTGCCTGAAATATTGTAGTGCTGGCCCTTGCAATATGGGAATCTTTTACCTGTGGGAGTTATCACTGCCTTTATGTCACTGACTTTAAAACTGGTGATGTCCCCACCAGGCTCCTTTTTATGTTAGAAAATAGTTTGTCTTTTTTTATCTAAACTATGGTCCATATGTTACAGTTCAGATTCTTGATCCAGTTGAAATAAGGGAAAATTTTGTTGGGTATTTCTGTTTTCACAAATTAGTCTCCTAAGAGTAGTTTCAGCCAGCTCTGTGAAAGTAAGTAATTTTTTCTTTAACTGCTCTATGTGGCTTTCCAGTGTTTTGTTTAGGCTTAGATTGCTTGTTTTCAAAGTCAGCGTAATGTATTCATGAGTCCCATTTTCCAGCAAAACCCATCATTATTAATAGACATGCCCAAGGAACGCTGTAATTAAAAACAAACAAACAAACAAAACCCAACAAAACCTGCCTGTAGTCTCATGGAAACTGTGCCCCTGGAACACAACTGAAATTTCCATTTTGATCCCTTCACCATTGTTCCTGCTGCTACGTTAAGAAGAAGAAACTAAAAATTATGTAACTATTCACCTTACCAGAAATTATTTGAGAGAATATGTGTTTGATCATTTTGTTCAAAAAGTTTTAAGAAAAGAATTTATACAGGACAAAAAATTAGGGCATTTTCAGCCAAGTCCATCCTTTCCAGTGCTGCCAAGGAGACAAGAATCAAATGGTCTGGCTGCAGCACATTCTCCAGTGCTATCAATGCATAACATCCATAGTTGTACGGTAGTCATATGCTTAATACACAAGTACTCCTATTTTAATAATTAGCTGTGATATGTCTACTCTTACACAGTCTTAAGGTGCTGGTATCACAACTGCCAGCCAGACACTGAGAAGAGATATGTTAAGCTAGCCAGTGTCGTAGCACCTTTTCCACCTTACTTTTTCCCCTATTACTATATCCCTTGGAAAGAAGAGGTTTTCCTTGCTAGCTCAAACTTTGCTATCTGAGATGAAATTCCAGATAATTCTGTAAATATTCATGCCTACAGAGAAATTGTACTTTAGTTATTATTATGATTATTGCAGGTAGCAAATAAAACAGGTAGAACAAAAATGTTCTGCTATTGAAATCATCAGTAGTGCTCTCAGCCAATGCATAGGTTGACTACTGTTACTTATCAGCAAAAGCACAAAGCCAGCTTCCTCCTTTACCCTAAGAGCAACGTAGAGCTTATGGGAGCTTCCCACTCCTGGGCAGGGTGGCTACTCAAACCTGAGCATCACCTACATCTTTTCCTTGGTATTCATCCACCTCTAACAGAGTTGAGGACCAGCTGGAGGGAGCTATGTCCTTGGTGGTAAGTGTATGAGTCCAGTCTGTGAATGGATAGAGTTACCGTACTTTGTGCCTTCCTTCTTTCCTCAAGTAGTTGCTTTCTTCATCAATAGCGCCTATTAAACATTCTCCAGTAAAAGAATGTTGAGTCCAGAAAACTCTAATGAATGCTTCCTTTTAATTTCTGCGTCCTTCTACCCTTCCTGGGTCCAGATGTGCTCAGAAAACATGAGAAATGGCAAGAAAAGCTCTTTTCATGACATTATAAAGTCTAAACAGGATCAGTAAGTATGATGGCATGAAGTTTCCAGCCCAAAAGGAAGCGAAGATTACATTGGTTGATGTTGTTAACCCAGGCTGGGAAAGTTTATCCAAAGTGAATTAAACCCCCAAAATGTTAACGCATGCTTATTGCAGGTGACATTACAAGTAAATTCACCTCTGAACAAATCAAAGGACAGCAGTGCTTACACAGTACCTGTCTGCAGCATAGCCCAGGGTGAACGCGCCAGCCAGAAACCCCAGATTGAGGACAGCCTGTGAGAGATCCAGCATCCAGGCGTTGCCACACACGAGGTTATACTGTGGGAACAAGGGAGAGTCCATAAACACCCAAGATGTTTCATTCATCATCCTCAGGGCAAAGCATTATAGAAACTGCATAGGGCCATGGTGGGAGGAAGAAAGGGAAGGAAGGGGAAAGGGGAAGGGAAAGAGAAAGGGGAAGGGAAGGAGAAAGGGAAGTTCAACTATGCATGTTTAACAGCAAGGACCAGTGGGCCACGGAAGTGCACCCATAGCAAGCAGTCTTTGAGCTGTTGTGAAGGTAAAGGGAGAGCTCCGCCTTGCCAAAAAGATGGTGAGTTTCATGCATCAGTTGTCCAGATATGGAAAGCAAACTCATCTTTTGCAAACCAAACACAATGTTGTTAAATTTGTTGCCAAGGCAATGCCATGCCTTTGTTTAGTGCAGAATAAAGGCGCACAGCTATAGCCAATGAAAATACCAGTTTAGAGATATTTAATTATTTTTCTTAGTGTCTTCTGAGGTGGTCTCTGAGGAAAGGAAACTAAACACAGACCTCAGATTCATTTCAGACACATAGAATATGTATTTTCCTGGTGTAGCTTTCCCAGAGTTTTCTATTCCTTATACTGCAGTAGTCATAACTTCCTAACAAGTTGTTACATTGGTGGATAGCTGAAGTTTTCATTAACACGGATGGGGATGGTGACAGGCAGAGATGAAGGGGAGGGAGAAGGGGATGAGAGGAAAGAAGACAAAGACACTAGGAATTAAACCAGAATGAAACTAAAGTAGTTATCCAGACAGCATGCCAGTGTAAATTACTTTAGAGGTTCTTTGAGAGTAAAGAAATACCAACCTCTGCCTGCCAAGTTCTGCAGACCTGCTGAGAGTCAGGAGGTTTCGATCCATGCCTGGGGTAACCTTAGGAACAATGTGACTTCAGGACCAAGGGAAGCCACAGACAACAGCAGCTGCCACCATTTCCCTAGAGATACCCTTTTGCTTTCAGGCATGACCTGTAAGCAATCTTTTAATCACTAACAAGGCACTGGTTGCTGAAGCACACACACAGTGTGTCACATTTGTGCTCACCAGCACATGTACCACAATACCAGTGCTCAAACACTGTGCTTGGACAGGTGGCCACAGGGTGGGTTAGAGAGAAGATTAGCAGCCTCTTCTGCCACTCACCATTCTCCAGACTCTGAAATATAATGCCATGAGCCTGAGCTCCGTCTTAGCCCATTTACATGCTGTAATGTCCAGAGAGTATTCCCTGAGCCTAGGATTTCAGAGGTGTCTACAGAAGGCACCCAGACTGGGATCGCACTGAACCTGAACCTGGACCCATAAATTTAAAGTAATACTCTTAAACGTTTATTTATGTACCTAAATAAGAAACCATTTCTCGTAATATTCTGAACTCCAAACACAGCACAAGTCTTTCACTCTCCTTGCGTGTCTCACTACATAGCTGCACTCTTCCCTGTGGGTTTTTGATCAGACCAGTGGCAGCAGCAGAGACCCCAGGCTCTGCTGTGTGCACGACAGCTGTAGTGAGAGCTCAGAGCCTGATGCCATGGGCTGTTTTACAAAATGCTATGTTATTTCATGCATTTTCCTACTGGCGGCTTCAGAGCTGGCTGTGGTGTCCTTTTTTTTCCCAGTCATTTACAGCAATAGACCGTGACACAGGTCAGCTTCAACCTGCAGCTGTGCTCCAGCTTTGAACACTGCTTAACTCAAACCTTTACACCATTATTTTCTGCTTCCAGCAGATGCTTGTGGAGTGACCTGGGAGCACCTTTCCCCAGAGGGGCAGGGAGGAACCCTCACAACTCTCTCCTAGCAGTCCCCAGGAATAACAGAGAGGTCCAGCCTGCGGTCTGCAGAGGGAGTTTTCTCCTGGTGAAGGTTAAGGTCACTCAGCACCTCACAATTGGCTTGGCTCCTTGAAAGATCAAAAACTTGGAGAGAAGTATCAGGCTGATTGATGGATCAGCAGGTAGGGCTTCATACAGGACCCGGTTTAAGAGCCCTTCACAGAATTGCCTGGGTCAGAGAGAAAAATATCCTCCAACACTTGCAATTGCTCCTGAAGAAGATGGTCATGGGAGAGGACACCCCCTCATAAGCCAAAACAACCAAGGAGAGAATGGTGAAGTGAATAAGAGCATTATTGCCTCACCAGAAACAGCTATATATTAGTGTGAGAACAAAATTAAGAAGTGAATGTAATAACAAAAGTGTTGAAGCAATGTCAAAATGAGATGATGCTTGCACAGACATCAAATCTATAAATAAAAACACTGTAGATGACTTAAAGTCCACTTGCCCATAATTTCAGTTGTTGATTTCAGAGACCAAGCCCCACATTTCTAACGGCTGTAAACTGCATGGGTATTTTACAGCTCTCCCTGAGCCAACACACCAGGTTTCCCAAGACCCAGAACACTATCTCTGTGATATCCCAAGTGATTACAAAGGGAACAACATTGCAGCTGCCCCACAGGAGGAGGGGTGTGCTTCCCACCCTGTGATAGCCCGGCACCCTCAGCTCACTGCAGAGACACTCTCTCGGGGAAGGCACCTACCCTTTGAGGAGCAGCAGGAAAGCCACACAGGTAGCTGAGGATCTTGCCTCCCAGGGCGGTGGTGGAGTCATGCCCTGAGGGACCAGCCACAGTGCCTGCTGCAGGCGCTGGCCCTCAAGGTCTACACGTTTGATACTTCTTCAAAGGGTATTTTATTTTTTAAATAGTTTGATCCCTCTTTACTGTAACCACGCAATGGATAAACTGTCACAAAAGAGGGCAAGAGAATGAATGCGTGCCAAAAAGAGGGAGGGGGAAATATCTTTACCAGAGAGGACTCTTTCATCTGAACAGACATTTCAGATGATTCAGGCAGCAGTTGAAACATAGTCAAATATTTTAAATATTCCAGGAAATAGGAAAATACAGAAAACTTCTAAGAAACTCTTAAGCTCTTTGTGAAGAGATTAATGACAGAACACTCGCTGTACTCTCCTAAATCCTGCGCTTTGTTATTTTCTAAGTATTTAAACTGCTTCTGGTACAGATAAGCTTTCTCAGACCTTTTCTGTTTGCTTGACATAGCACCTACCATTTAAGTCATCACTCTGCTAATGTCTTGCTTTTCGTTTGCAAACATAACCTTTACAGGGGAATGTAACCTTTAAAAGAAAATTGCGCACCCTGCAGAGATATGTTTCTGATCTAAGCTCCCTGTCAGACCCGCAGCACCGCTTCAGCTGTGACCTGGTTTGGTTGTGCCTGATAGTTATCCCTATATGCATCACGTGGAGGAAATGCATCTCCATCTGTTTACCCAGGATCTCAGCCTGTCTCCACTTAGCCAGTAGAACTCCCCTAAAACATCTCCCATGTGCCTTGCTAGCAGTCCCCACAGAAGGAAATGGAATGGTGCTTCCTGTCTGTTTCTGAATGGGCGCATGTTTGTCTATGCATGGGCTGATGTTCGCATTCCTACCATAGAGGCTTTTCCTATGCCCAGGCAGATGCTGCCCATGCTCACTGACCAGGAACCCCTCCATGCAAGTATCTGGTGGCATGAGGGATCAGTATCCCTGTAGTAACCATCTCCCACTGTGAGTAATAGGAGAGCCCATTCCCTGAAAGTATAAGTTCTTCTCATAACATACCAAAAAAATCCCACCATATGGTCTCTAAATGTCACAGACTACCCTCCCTGGATCCCACTTGGTTTCCAAATTTGTTAGCACTCAGAATCAAAAACTCTAGGGCTCACTATCTGTCTAGACTTTAACTGTCTGACTTTGGTTTTCTTTGGTTTCTTCCTGAACATTACACTTGGGCACCTCCAGAGAAGACCTGTAGCTCACATCAAAAATAAGCTGTGGAAGAAACCAGTGGCTCATGGCTGAGCATCACACATCTCAGAAAGCTGGGACCCAGCTGAAGCTTCCCTTCAGAAGTGTCACCTCTCTGGCTGCAAAAGCACACCCTGCTGCTGCAGAATTTGGGTCATATTCTAGAGAAACATCTGGGAGACATTGGAGTGAGGAGAGCTTAATGTCCTGTCCTGCACTTGTAGGTATCTGTCCACAAATAGTGTCCTTGCAGCACGTACGTATGCAGTGAAGAAAACATTTCTGTTTTCACTTGAATAATCTCCCCCAGGTCAACACAGCAGAAAGAGAATGTCACCTCCTGCATTCAGTCCCCTTTCCTCCAAAAACTCAAAAATTAATTGCTAAAACATTTACTGCAGTGTGGGGAGAAGGATATGGAAAAGCAAAGGAACGCCTTAGGGGGTTTTGTTCTTAAGCCTATCTGTTGACCTAGACGGCACTGGCTACACCTACACGCTGTTAAAACCTAGCTAGCCAGCTCCTCATTGCAATCACCAAGTGGATGAACTAGCTCAGCTGGCCAGCTCCAGCTAAGGGAACATCCTCTTCCTCATCATTGCCATGCTCCCAGCTAAGCCCTTCACTGCCCAAGTTCATGCACCCAGCACAACCCTGTAACCCATCTCTGCACCCACTGCCACACTTGTCTGCATGAGTGAGATCTCTCTGAGGGAACAAAGAGGTTTTGCACTAGCTCGCTGTAGTTCATTAGTGTAGTAATCACTATAGAAAGGAGTGGGAACTGGCTGAAATGGGAACAGAAGAAATGCTTGTACATAACTGATGACTGGAAAACACAAGGACTGTGGAAACTTCTCTTTTCTTCACACCTTTGGCAGAAGGCAAACATTTTCCATTTTGGTTTGACATGCAAACTAACCACAAACGTGCAATTCCTGGACCTTGAGAGGCCTTTATGCACTGAGAAATCCCGAAAACACTTCAGCACACCTATTCCTGTAGAAATGCATTGCTTTAAATGACAACATTATTAAAAGCTCTTCAAAAAAGTTGCAGCTTTGAGTAGGAGTTCGATATCACGTTACTGCCTCTTACAATTAATTTCAAACTGATGAATGAAACTCTTTGATTAATGAAGACATCTGCAGTGATTCCTCAGTCCAATTACAACAGCAC